CGAACCGGGACCCCGGGGAGGGGCATCTTCCGGGGGCGTTCAAACCGGTGGGAAAACGAATCGGGACCCTGGGGAGGGAATGCTACAAGGGGGGGGGTCAGTCACATCGACTGTTGGAGGGGCTTTGGAAGGGGCGGGGGTCTCCCACGGGCTGGGGGGCTTTGGAAACGGGGGTCTCCCACGGGCGGGGGGTCTGTGGAAGGGGATGGGTCGCACTGGCAAAGCGGGGAGGGTTTTGGAAATGGGAGCGGCTCACTGGCAGAGCATTGGGATTTTGGAAGAGGGGGACACACGGGTGGGTGGGGGTGCTCTGGAGGCAGGGGGAGGTTTGGGGGTCCATTGCCTTGAGGAGGGGATGGGCTGGTGGGGGTTTTGGGGTGCCTGGGGGGCGATGGGCAGGAAATGTTAGGAAGGGGCAGTCAGGGGCTTGCACTGGAGGGGACAGGGATGGGGACAGGGACATGTCCTGTGACCCACAGGTGCCAAGGAAAGACAGACAAACAGATGGTGACAGGGCAAGTCCCACCCTCTGCAGAGACATTTTTTCACCTCTGATATAAGGATAAATGAAACAATAATTTGTGTTAAGTGATCACTCTGCTTTGTTGAAATCTTGGAAAACAGTGATGGGAATAACACAGAGCCCTGAAGCTGCTGTGGGGCCATGTCCAGCTCTGGGGAGGACAGGCTTTGGGGAGTACATGGAAAATCCAGTGGAATTTTTGGTCACAGGCGTGCCACCCAGCCACATCCCTGAAACAAGGACACCCCACGCTGCCAGAGCCACATCCCCAAGCCAGGACACCCCACAGCCCTGGGGTCACATCCCTGAGCAAGGACGCTCCTCTTGGGCTGTCCAGGGGAGCTGGGCCTTGCTGGACAGGACCTGCTCTGCTCCCACAGTCCCCTAGGCCCCCCCAAGTTCCAAAAACTGTTTCAGAAGGATGAGTGAACACAGAGAGACTCGAGACCCTCCTCCCCAGGAACCATGGAATGTCCCCCTGGTGTCCTGGGGTGTCCTCCCAGGTGTACAGGTCCCCCTGAGCCCCTCGGAGCCAGAGCTGGCTCCCACCAGAATTCCTCAGGTGCCTCCAGATGCAGAGACACTTCCAGTTGGATTCACAAAGCACCAAGGTGCCCATTAAGTCCATCAGGAGGAGCAGTTCCAGCACATCCCGCTGCCTGTCCTTCTGCTCAGCATCCAAATATCCCTGTAAATCCATCTCCATCTCACGAGCTCTTAGGAGTTTGTCCGTGCTAAAAGGGAGGGAGCAGCCTGGTATAAAACACCTCCAGCGCCACACGGAGAGGTGGGATATAAATAAAATATGGATCCTCCTCATTATTTATTTAGCAAATCTGTTTAGGAAAAACGCCACGGACTGTGGGGCTCAGCATCCCTCCTCCCACCCCAAAGCAAAACAAATAAAAACCAAATTATTTTGGAATAATGCTGCCGGAGCATCCTCCCGTGCCGCAGCTCCACCAAGGTTATCCATCTCCTCATCCTGCTCCCATCAGGATCTGTCTCCATCAAGCCCCCGACAGCCAATCTCCCTCCTGTCAGCGGACGCTGCCATAAACCCGGACACTTGTCTGTCAACTTCATTTGTTTCCATCTCTCCAGCCAAGCCACTAAAAGCCTTTCCTGCCTCTCCAGGAGGCCTGGCCATGGATCCTCCCAGCTCCGTGGCAGAGCCACATTCCAGGGCCAGCTCCAGGGGCAGCTCCAGGGGCATGGCCAAATCCAAATCCACAGGTGCCACCCCGCAGAGCAATCCCCTCATGTCTGTGGAACGGGGAACGGGGATGATCCAAAGGGCGCCGTGCCACCCAAGGGCACAGCCACGCGCTGTGGTGCCAGCTCACCTGGGGGCACTCACTGGCTGGAGATTCCCAGTTCATCCCAGCTCAGCCCAGGCCATCCCAGTTCAACCCAGCATATCCCAGCACAGCCCAGTGCATCCCAGCTCAGCTCAGTGTATCCCAGCTCAGCCCAGTGCATCCCAGCTCAGTTCTACTGGAGTTGTGGGGCATCCCAGATGGAATTCCCTGGAAAACAGGATGATCCCATGGGATCAGGCAGAAGCAGCCCCACACCTGCTCCAGTGCCTTCCCTCCCAGCCAGGACTAGTCCCAACATGAGGAGGGCCCAACCCTGCTTTGCATGGAACGATTTCTCCTTGCCCACTCCCGGTAACGGGAAGGAAAACCTTTTCCAGGATTTTTCTGGTTTCTCCAAACAGCACCAGGTTGTTTTTCTAACCAAACAAAACCAACTATTTGCCTTAATTACTGTAAATCCTGCAATTTCCAGCCCCCAGCTCCATGCAGGGGGCAAGACTGGATGCAGGGAGGGATAATTCACACCCGCCTTCCTCTGCATTAATTGGATCGGCCGGGAAATTATGGAAAATATTTGCTACCGATAAAAAAACCCTTCCCATTAAAAAGGTGAGGAGTCACAGGGAAAGGGCCAGGAAGCACCAGCACAGAGCAGAGCCAGGCTGCTGGGAAAAAAAAAGGGACACGGGTGGGTCCCTTGAAGCTTCCCGAGCTGGAAGGGATCAGTGTGATGGGAAACCCCAGCTGGCAGCAGGATCCAGATGCCTGCCATGGAGGCAAGAGGATAGTGCTGATGCCCCCCAGCCAAGGATCAAGGAATTGTGTGGCATCCAAAGGCTCCAGCCCCCATCCATGGGTTCTGACCCCATCCCTGGACTCCGGTCCCATGCAAAGGCACCGAACCCCCAAAGGTCAGGGAGGGGCCCATCCCTGGCTCGCAGAGCTGGGGGCAGCTGGACACCCATGGATGGATGGACACCCATCCACGTGGCCAGACTGTGGCACGGCTCTGGCTCCCAGGTTTTGCTCCCTGGAGGTTCCTCGAGCTCCCGGTTTATTCGGGATACCAAGTAAGCTGCCGCAGATACGCAAAACCGCACAACCCCACAATCACACCCCAAATGTGGGTACACCCGGAGCTCCTGTGCCACCCCCGGGATGCCGGGCAGTGTCTCCGCTCCAGCGGGGTGGGACAGAGCCGCAGCCTGCGGCTCGGGGTGGGAACCCGGATCCGGGAACACCCAAACCCCTCCGGCAGCCTGGGCACGGACACGCCTCGCCCGGGGCCGTTCGCACCTTCCCCCAGCAGCACCGGGCGCGTTCTGCCGCCTCATCTGACGCTCGTGAAAACACCCAGCCCTAAAATCCAGCTGCGGATAAATCCTCCCCACGCCGGAGCCGTGCTGCCACGGGAGAGAGCGGCTCCCCTTGGCTCGGTGGCATTTGGTGACCGCCGTCCCTCGTCCATCGGCGACGGTGGCACCGCAGCGCCCGCTGGCAGCGGTGTCCGCAAAGCGATTTCCCACCACGAATGAACCCACCGAAGGGGTGGGAACCTGGATAGCAGCGCGGCCGACACCTGGAAAAGCAGCCGGGAATCCGTCAAGGGCCAAAATCCTGCGGTTTCGGCCCAAAGCGGCGGCGGCGGAGCGGCAGCACCGCATTGCTTAGGCAATACCCCCCTCTAGTGCCGGTGCCCCTCGCCGCCCCCCGGGGCTGCCACCGTGCGCTCGGGTGGCCGCGAATGTCACCATCAGCCCGAGTCCCCTCTCGGGGTGCCAGCCGAGGCTGGGTGTTCGGGTGTGCCCTGCTTGGATTGGGGAAAAAAAAAGGGAAATTAAAAAGCGCCCCACAGATCGCAGCTCCGCACCCCTCCCAGCCCCGCAGCCCTCTGGGGACAAGCAGCCGAAGCAGCCGCGAGTTTTGGGGAGGGTCTGCAGCCCCTCACCCCTCTGGGGTGCCTGAGCATTCCCAGAACCCCATGAGCGGCGCTAAAGGGACACAGCGCAGTGCCACGGCCACCGTGTCCCTCTCAAGGCCACCGTG